CCGTCCGTCCGTCCGTCCGTCCGTCCGTCCGTCCGTGCGAGCGTCCGTCCGTCCGTCAACAGTTGGGCACAAATCTAAACGGCTCGACGTACGGTCACGATATTCGGGACGTGGGGGGGTAATCCGAAAACGAGTTGGGATGTTGAAGCTGGGGGTCAAAGGTCAAAGGTCAAGAGGTGTAAAAGAAGGGGGAACATTCCCTCCTTAACTTAAGGTATAGGGAGGAAATGCAGAGTCGGTGTATAGCATCATGGTAGGAAAAGCCATCACTGTGCCCGAAATTGGAGGTTACAGGTCAAAGGTCAATGGGCACCAGGGGCCACATTTTAGACATTTTCTGAGGACATGTCGTTGACGAAGCGGATTGAAAAACTTTTTTTGTTTCAGCGGTGACCTAGCATTTTTATGGCATTATTGAAAGGACGCCATGAAATCTACTTTCCTGCTGACATGCGAAGAGTAAGGTTCAGATAACCTTTTGACCCTAGCCAGGAGGGTTAACATGGAGTTGTTGACTGTTCTGTTAGAAAGAATTGACTGCCCGGGTTTGCTAGGTAGAATCTAACATGCCTGGATGTATGAGGCCTATAATGTCACAGTGAAATTTCAAAAAGCTAAACTTGGTTAAAGAAGGTTTATGCCTCCTTAAATCGTATAATTTCTATGGCATTTCTGTACTGTCAGTATGTTACATGTACCGTATGCCACTGCCAGTGGCTACTGCCAGTGCATGTGTTGGTGGTACTGTGTGGTTTTGCCTGCCGTTAATTGGTTACAGGTGGCAGCTCTCTATTGCAGCTGTAGGCTTGCCTAGGTAAATGCGATGAGTGCTTACCTATTCTGGTCTTGCAAATAGTGTTGGCTACTACTTATGATCGGAGCTTCCATCTTTAATCTGAAGACACTTAAACGTACGCGCCATCTCGTGGCAACTTTCATAACGAATCCACCGAACATCCTTTAGAAGGTTCCTGATACCATCCCTGTGCATTCCACTATTTCGGCGTGTATGTGAACACATTTGGACTAACAGGGTTTACTAGAATCCCACCACTCCACCACAGAGTCACCGCAGTAGACGTTAGATGAGCGCTGTCGCTCCGCGGCATTGTGTTTTTTTCCCTGCCAAAAACATGGGTAAGCAGGAATGTAATTTTTTTTCCAAGTTAATATGGAATAGGATATAATTTGAACGAGCGAGTAACCGAAGTGTGGCGCAGCGCGTTCCCCAGCGTCGTGCGCATGCAAATGCATCGATCTGTGGGTGTGGAAAATATCACACGTGTTTGATATTTTCTTTCACGTGTGGAAGATTGAACAGCGGCTGCAGAGTGGGCTGGTGTAAAGTTCCCACCGTCTCCTCTCTTGTAACCGACCAATAGCAGGAGGTCAAGCGAGTCACGTGATCTTAACTTGCGGTTGCAGCGCGGCATTGATTGATGTACAGGGGGGGTGGGTGCATGTGTTAAGTCGCCGGCTCATTGAATATGTGGGGCGGGTGACCACCGCTGGGATAAGCCTGAGGCGGACGTAGTGTCTTTCTTGGAATTTGTGAAAAAGCTGCAAAAGGTTTGTAGCCTGCTTTGCACTCAATTACATAATTGTATCCCCCGAACGAAGTTTCGTGGGATACTATGGATTGGCATCGTCGCGCCGCCGCCGCCGCCGCCGCCGCCGCAGAGATTTCCTTGTGAGCGCTCTACCGGCTGCAGTTCTTCTCGGATCATCTTCAAATTTTGAATGAAGATGCGTTATCGTAAAGCGAAGACACCTATCGTTTTTGGTGTGGGCGGAGTCATCGTTGCCATGGTAACAACATTTTTGTCGAAATATTCTAGACCTGTAACTTCTGCACTTTTTACCCGATTGTCATGAAATTAGATGTTTGTATTAAAATTTAAATTTAAAATTTAAAAAAAAAGAAAGAAAAAAAATATTGCAAAAAAATATAAAAAAATAAAAATATTTGTATTAAAAATTTGTATTTAAATTTATATATAAATTTATGATTGTCATCAAAATATATATATATACATATATATATATATATATAGGACATGTTATATCGGCCCTGTGTGCCAAATTCGATGAAAATCGGGTAAAAACAGCACAAGTTACCTGTAGGTTCTACAATATTTCCACAAAAACGTTGTTACCATGGCAACAATGACTCCTCCCACACCAAAAACAATTGGCGTCTTTGCTTTAGCATAACGCACCTTCATGCCAAATTCCCAGAAGCGACCTGCGTATGCAAGGCAGATAACGCATCGAGATAAACAATATTGCGGAGTTTACTCGCACATCCGGGCTCTTGCGGAGATGCGTAACTAATGGCGCAGAACATAGGCGCTGAACTGTCAATGGGTGTATGGAGGCATAATTGTTATATATATATATACCATATTACCCATCGGCCAGATGGGTTTGACCCTGCCGCCCGCGTGCGCGAAACACTGTAAACCCCAGACGGAAAGGATTGGTCATGTACGCATGATCAGACGTTACTACAAGTTGTGTAATTATTCATATATATCATTGATTATTATTACTTATAATTATTTACGATAAAAGGTCTGTCATTATGAACCCCCTAATCCTATCAACGAGCAGATTGTTCAAATCACGAATAGTTACAAAACGCACTCCCTCATTTTGCTGCGTACTCTTATTGTATCCCTCGTATAGTCTACAGTATTTAGTAGTATTTTTATGACATGAAACTGTGTGATGTGTTTATTGAGAAATGTGGATGTACAGCACAACACCAGAAATGATTATGGCCATTACTGTTAACGGCCGGCGTAAATTCACGTATCTCCTCGAAAACGCCATAAGCGAATTTACCCATTTACCTCTTACCGGAAGCGGTTTCGAACGTGGCGAGACGGATAAAGCTATGTCACTAGCCTATATTTTCCGTCCAACAACGTTAATAAAACAACATTTCAACGACAACAACATTCACGCTTGCTTCGCAGGTAGCCATGACGGAAATTTCGATCGGTACCTGCTGCATCTCTAGTCCTTACGGACAATTATTAAGACAAAACTCATCGGTACGAAGAGGGGGTAGGGGGGGGCGGGTACTGTTCACAGTGAAAATATTCCTCCTAGGGTAACCAGATCCATATACTTGCACATCTGAGGCAGACCAGTTTACGTCCTTACAGAGATATTCCATTCATACTAGATCACGGGGGATACATGTAGTTGGCGACAACTGCCCGTTTCTAGTTTAACCCATGCATCAGGTGTCGTTTTGTGCAGCCGCGCGACTATTATACTTGGCAGTAAATAATTGGTATATGTGTAATAATATTGTTAGTCCAACAGAGGGGGTTGGCTAGACCACCCCCCCCCCCTAAATCCACCACTACACACACGCACGCACGCACGCACACACACACAAACCCACACAGACAGAGAGCAACGTAAAAACAACGTCGAAATGTCAACGTTAAAACACGTTCAAGTGTAGAGACGGTGTGAAACTTTACACAGCCACTCCACAGACGCTGTTCAATCTTCCACACGTGGAAGAAAATATCAAACACGTGTGATATTTTCCACACGCCACAGATCGATGCATTTTGCATGCGCACACGCTGTGGAACGCGCTGCGCCATCGTCCACGTAGCGCAGCGCGTTCCACAGCGTGTGCGGCAACGGCTCTGCGGCCGCGTATAGCACGATAGCATGCGTATACTATATAGTACGCGATCGATCGCGTACATCAAAGCCGGCCACCGCGCCATACGGCATTCAGGCTCTGTTTATGAAGTAGCCGGCCCAGGCTCTATACGACTGTTTCACGTTGTAGGAAAAATATTTTGGAACTCTCTTTACGTAAATAAGATGACAAGAGTTGGATATTTGAATATGTATGATTGGCAGGCGGTATCTCAGATTTTTTTTTTTGAAACCCTCTAAAAGTGACCGCAGTCGCACATTTTTCACTCCGAAATGTGAAGTGCGGGCGGGTGACCCGAACCAAAGGTAATTTTTGGGTCGGCCTAAGTAGTGTTAAAGATATTATCCCACAAATGTCATGGCCAGCGAGTGAGTTACAACTCTTCTAATCTCTCACTGTGTATACAGTGAGCAATTACTCGTTATATGTAGTAGTAGAAAATGCTCGTAATCCATAATTCTCATAGAACATGTATTCGTTATTTATGAAAAATAGTGCACATTGACTAACTCAAAAAGTGCCCATCCCCTCTCTTCAATATTGGTAGAATATGAGTTACAATGTATTAAAAGTGTTAAACATGCACGAAATAAACTGCATATTATATATAAATTTTCCTAAAAATATAGATGACAACTTGGGTGTATTCATTAACTGTGTACGTGTTAGATTTGGCAAAAAACACTCGTAATTATTTTGCTCCGTTCCACAGCAACACAATCTTTTTGTCGTGGCGACGTCTTTCCGGCTGTCTAGTTTAACCTCTCGCTTCTTTACCTCGCAAGGTACACAGAGGATGTCAAAGAGAATGGCGAAGGCAGGGAGGGCAAGAAGGCGAAGAAGGCTGAGAAGGCAGAGAAGGAGACGAAGAAGGAGGTGGAGGTGACCGTGGTGGAGGAATCCCCGATCCCCGGCCCTGAGAAGCCGAGTCCGGGCATGCTCACCGCGATGCAGATAAAAGACATGATGGCCAACGCTCAGAAGATGATCGAGGAGCGCAAGAAACAACTCAATCTTCTCACCCAGGCCGGTGCGTGCGATTGCTCTATGGTGTTCCCGCATTACCGTTACCAATCTCATCACCATTGTAATACGCATACTACTCGGGTGAACAATAACAATGTTAGCATTTGCAGAGGTTTCAATTGAATTGAAGGCACACACGATCCCAAACATATTCGAATTCGAACACATTCAAACACATTCAAAGGCACATCTAGTGTGGAGAAATAACGATTTATTCCTTATCTTTTAATTTTGTTTTTGTCATGTGGCAATTTGTACTGTTCGCTTCAGGCCAATTTCCAGCCCAGCTTTCGCCACAGATGCAGTTGTCATCAGAATATCAGGTGGCGTTACACACAGAGGCAATGGAGAAGGCTAAAAAGGCAGCGGAAATACAGGTGAGTGCCTCATTACAATTTGATATAGGAAATTTGTGTTTAATACAGTATCACTGATACAGAACAGATACCTATACACTATACAGTATCACTTTTATACAGTAATCTGTAATTTAACAGGGAATCTGTGTTGTCTGTATAACATCGCAGAAATGGCTTGCCCACGTTAGCGGGTAATACCTTCTTATTATTTTTCTTCATATTCTTTTACTTCATGATTTGTTGATTAATTAACCTGCACCTGGGAGGTATATTTCTGGTCACACCTGTGTGACTGCATGCATGAGTTGCATCTGGACAGGAAAATGTTCATCTAAAATTTCTTCTGAATTTTTTTCTGGAAAATCTTGTAAAATTAAAAAAAAAATTTATAAAAGATTGTGCCTGTAGGTTATAATCGTCGTTGATCGTGTGTTGCAGGCGAGAATCCAGGCGCAACTGCAAGCAAAGCCGAATCTCCTTTTGGCAGTCGGACCCGGTACGGCCGCCGTGGCAGCCACCGCTGGCGCCGCATCGGGGAAACCCAGCGCGAGCGCGCAGTCCGCAGGCCCTGTGGCCCTGATCCTGGACGATGAGGGACGTACGGTGGACGCGACAGGCAGGGCCATTCACATTCCTGTTCACACTCCGACGCTGAAAGCGAACATCAGGGCGAAACGACGCGAGGAGTTTAAACAGGTGGGCGCTCGCATGGTAGCGGTTGTTTCGAACGTGGAGTTAATTTTCTGTAGTGCCTTGAATGGTGGCTAAAAATCGACCAAAAACTTTCTGCTGCCCTACCAGTATCTTTATGGACTAGCATGTACATTCTAACATGCAAAGTAGGTTAATTTCCACGTATCGGATTAGTTTGTGATTATAATTCATGCACCTAACATGTTGTACCGTAAACTACTTCATTGAAAATGTAGATTAGAACTAAAATTTAAAAAATGTAGATTTAAAAAAACGGATATACGTATTCCGCAAAATTTTCTCTCGTTTTGCGAGTGCGTGCGACGGCCAACGCAGCTAGCCGTCCGCGACGCATTAGAGGAATGCACTGACACACTAGAGGGCGCTACTATCAATGCAGGTTCAGGACAAGCCGCCGGAGGAGTTTTCGGACGCGAGTTCGTTCTTTGACGCGCGCCTGCAGCTGAAGTCGGCGCAGCGGGTGAAGCGCAAGTTCCGCTTCGTCGACCAGGGCCGCTACATACAGCTCGCGCAGCGCGTGCGCACCAAGGCCCAGCTCGAGAAACTGCAGAAAGAGATCTTCCAGGTGCAAACGAGATTTTTCCGCTTTTGTGATTTTCCCCGACAAGGGATTCGAGATCAAAAGCAGCGTGTATCGTTTGGATATAAACGGCCCGAAATCAAATATTTTCAGCAACGGGAACATGACTGGACTTTTTTATACAGTTCTCAAACTCGTCAAGTTTTATTTAATTTGCTATATTAATTAATATTGTATTATTCTATAACGTTAATTAGAATCTATAAAGATATGACACTATCCATGCCGCATACATATTGACATGATAACAGCAAATCCATAACGTGATCTTTATTCTCACCCCCGGCTTTCCGCCGCGCATCCAGGTTGCCAAGAAGAAGGCAGATAAAGTATTATATAGTACATATAAATATATATATATATATGGGGCACAGTACTATATACGACGTTACCCACGCACACATATTCACACGATAACAGCGAATCCGTAACGTGATTTTAATTCTCTGTCGCGCCTCCAGGTTGCGAAGAAGACGGGGATACAGTCGGCTGCGAAGCTCGCCCTCATTGCGCCGAAGAGCGTCGTCGCGTCGGACGAGATTCCCGACGTGGAGTGGTGGGACGCGGTGGTCCTGCGCAACGAGAGCTACACGAGCCTGGACCAGAACCCCACGAAAAACCCCGACGGCACTCCGGGGGAGAGGTGGGTTGTGGTCGCTGGCGGGGAGGCACGAGAAAAGGTGGAAGGGGTGGGGGCGAACCGTAGGGTGGGCGAGAATCGAGGGGTCGGGGTGCGGCTATGGAAGCTACATCAAGCTAGGAGGAAAGGCCATGAGAAACCCCGACGGCACTCCGGGGAGAGGTGGGTTGTGGTCGGCGGTAGGGAGGCATGAGAAAAGGTGGAAGGGTGGGGGAGAATCAAGGGTCAGGGGAGAATCGAGGGGTGGGGGTGTGCGGCTATGGAAGCTACATCAGCCTGGACCAGAACCCCACGAAAAACCCTGAAGGCACTCCGGGAGAGAGGTGGGTTGTGATCGGTGGTGGGGAGGTATGAGAAAAGGTGGAAGGGGTGGGGGAGAATCAAGGGGTGCCCCCTCCATTCGCCCCGTGTCCCGCTGCCTACAGACTAAATGTAATTGTAGTATTACATTGGTCGTAGGTTCGACGGCGTGACTAACCTCGTGGAGCACCCGATACAGCTGAACCCGCCCGCAGACACGTCTGCCGACGTGCCGATACCCGTCATGCTGACAAAGAAGGAAAGGAAGAAGCTGCGCAGGATGACGCGGCGTGAGACGTGGAAGGAGAAGCAGGAGAAGATACGACTGGGGCTGAACTCGGTCGAGGAGCCCAAGGTGAGGAGGGGAGAACGTCGTAGCTGACTGTGTGCGAGGGAGGGGGTCATAGTTATCTGTTGGTAAAGGAGGAGTATCATAGCCGTCTGTTGGGTGGGGGGGGTCATAGTTATTGGTTGGTAAGGGAGGAGGTCATCTACAGTCATCAGTGGGTGAGGGAGGGGTTCATAGTCATTGTTGGGTGAGGGAGGAGGTTATAGCTGTCAGTTATGAAGAATATTCATCATAGTTACTCCACTCCTCACCCGGTTTTTTGCTCGCCACTTCGGACCACTCTCACCCCAGTTTTCGCTCGGCACTCCGGACCACTCTCACCACGGTTTTCGCTTGTTCGTTCCCCGCAGATGCGCATGTCCAACCTGATGCGCGTGCTCGGCATGGAAGCCGTTCAGGACCCGACGAAGATCGAGGCGCAGGTGCGCACGCAGATGGCAAAGCGTCAGAAGGACCACGAGGACGCAAACGCGGCGCGTAAGCTGACGCGCGAGCAGCGCTCCGACAAGAAGATCAAGAAGCTGACGGAGGACACGACGGTGGGCGTGCACGTTGCCGTCTACCGCGTGCGCGACCTATCGAGCCCGGCGAAGAAGTTCAAGGTGGAGACGAACTGCCAGCAGCTGCTGATGACCGGCACGGTGGTGCTCTACCGCGAGTGCAGCGTCGTCGTCGTCGAGGGTGGCCCGAAGCAGCAGAAGAAGTACCGCCGACTGATGCTGCACCGCATCAAGTGGGAGGAGGACGGAGGAGGCGGCGGCAAGGGGAAGGAGAAGGACAAGGAGGGAGGGGAGGCGTCGGCGGCGCGCGGCGGCGGCGGCGTCAACGCGTGCGTGCTCGTGTGGGAGGGAACGACGAAGGAGCGAAGCTTCGGCGAGATGAAGTTCAAGCTGTGTCCCGCGGAGACTTTTGCACGCGAACACTTCAAGAAGCACGGAGTCGAACATTACTGGGACTTGGCGTACACTCAGGCCATCATGGAGGCCAGTGCCGCAGAGTGAACACAGTTCAGATTGAGGATTAGTGTGTTATGAGCCGTATCACAGGAGGGTGAGGAAAAGGAGGGGAAGTGTGTGCCCGTCCAGCCCCGAGCTTTATTGCGTGTCACGGAGCTGTAGAAAGGAATCGGCACGTTAGGGGAAGCGTGGCCGCGACTTGATTCTAGTTAGAGATGTGCACACGCACAATGTCGCGATGGCCGATGCTTGATCGTTGCCCTAGGCATGAGTGTGTAAATTAAGAACCATGAGAATGAAATTAAGAGAAGTGAAGCTCCTGTCATTTGTTTGTAAGAATAAACATATTTACATAAGTAATCTCATAACTTCTTTTTTTTCTCTCCACTACATAAACCAGGCTTTCCAGCGGCCCTAAAATTCCTAAAAATTCCTAAAATTTTGAGCTCGTCCTAAAATTCCTAAAAAACATTAATGTATGAAATTCCTAAAAAAAGGGCTAAAATTTTATTCAAATTACTAAAAAAAAAAATTCCACATATGTTTGGAGTTTTTGGTGATGAGATGATGAACTTTTGGTTTGTAATTATGTCTAATGCAGGGTCTCCAACCATTCCTCATTCTGCGGAATCATTACGATTTCTAGGCTTAATTTCTGCATTCTGCAGCGGCAATGTTATATTCCTCATTTCAGTTGCACTGTACAAAATTTGCACTGATTGTTCGCATTGTTTGCTTGGACACATTGTTTTTTTTCAGGCATGTCTACGATAAATGAAACAGCCTAGTCAGACAGGCGCTGTCTGCAAGGTGTCGCGTAGTTTGTCTGCTAATCAGACAAGGGTTGTAGGGTTGAGATAGTGTTATCAGACATGAGAATATGGCCCACATTATGCCCCAGATTGCAGGAAAATGGCTTAAATATTTCAAAATTTTCTGGGGGGGGCATGCCCCAGGACCCCCCTAGCACTGGCACGCAGGCCTGCCTGAGGCAGCCAAGGTACATTTCGCCCCCCTCAATGTCCATCTATTTCTGACATTCGACGATTTCGACTGATTTCTGACATTCGACGATTTTCTGATGTCCATCAATTTCTGAATACGCCACTAGTTACTGATCACCGCGGGAACATTCCGCATTTGGAGTTCACAGGGTTGGAGACCCTGCTAATGGATGTTTTCTAGTTATCTTTATACAGAGTGAGTATTGTGACTCAGTCTACCAGTGATTCCTAAGCTTCAGTGTCTGATTATACGACCCTGTTCCTGGCTGGATGTACAAGACATGCCTAATTTGCATGAAACTTGATGATGTACAGTTGTATCGAGGACTTGGAGGATAGGAATAGCTGGTAGACTGGACACATACCACATAGAACTGTATCTGTAAGTTAACACGTTGATGTTTATGAAAGGTAAGTGACTTATTTTATCCTGAAAATGTTTCGATTCATCCCTAAAAATTCCTAAAATAGCCCTAAAAAAACCTGAATTTCTCCCTAAAATTAGCCCTAAAATGTTGTCAAGGACTGCTGGAAAGCCTGCATAAACCTGCGGTTCAACCTACCTATTTCCATGTATGTAAATATGAGCAGACCTGATCAAGGCAGTACATTACTTGGGCAAGTCCCACCCAAAACATCTCATTTTAAACAAGAATTAAATTTCAAAAACAGCCTTGCCGCCTGTTAATCATGGCTGCATGCTGCTGTTAATGAGAATGGGCTTTCTGAACATGCAGCATTGTATTAATCGGGTGATGTTCTCACTGTGGATTTGCCTTCAATCACATTGATCACACATCTTTAGCCCCAGTGCGTGAAAACTCGAGATGAACATAGAAACACCCTTCGCTCTACATTACATCATCATCTTTATTTTCTTTGGAACATTAAACATTAAATCAACGCTGCCCGGTAAAAGCTTACAGATCTATAGTGTATCAGCTGGCAACACTACAACGTAAACTCTGAGCAGCAAACGATGGTTCGTTAAATTGTCTCGCCACGATTCACACAGCATCGACGCAGAAACAAGACGGCATTAAATAGAGGCGAGTCACGACGACGACAGGGTCATAAAAACCGCATTTAAATATATATATGTGACAAGTGTCGCTACTCGCTAATCAAAGTTTTTATTTTACAGTAGTCCCTATACTGTATTAACATCATGATGTTTCAGATCGAAGTTGGTGCCGTACTCAGTATTTGTACAAGGCTTCTATGAGCTTGTGGCGCTGCATCATATACCCATCTAAGGTCTTGCAGGGTCTGGAAGAGGAAAAAACAAATGCACGTCACCACCATAATGTGCAATGGCAACTACTAGGGGCAATAAACATAGGCACGACGAACCGAAATGCTGGACAATACAGCCACCGTTGCTTATATAGTCCCAGGTAAATTCTTATTCATATGCATTTCATATGCTCACTTGTGTCTTGTTAACTCATTCAGTTTTGTAGCCAACTATTAACTCTCTGCCATGTCATGGTCAGTGATATCGGTTGCAGACGAGTAGGTAACAAAACCACACCTTGTCAGAAATGCCTCGAGCATGTCTTTAGTAGACTTTGGGAAGTACGGCTGTTTCACTGCGTGCAGTAGAATGGTCAACGGGCCATAGAGATCATGCACAAGTTGAAAATCCTTGTCCTCGCTCTGCAAAATTACAACCGACTGTCACTGACAGCCCCAGGGGGAGGAAGAGCATCAGGGTTGTGCACCCCCTCCTCCTTCCCGTAATACTAGCAAGCACAACAACCAACTTAACTCGCAATGACTTTCACATTCAACTTATAGGGATAGTAGACTCTAGGATTTTACTGCATCCAACTGTACTTACTGTATAACAAATAGTCTATACCCACACGTATTTGTTACCAGAAACCTAATTTAATTGTTATAATGAATTTCACATCAACGCTACGAAATTTGAACGGCGCCATGACACCCGCGGCCGTGCTGCCACCCTGAAAAAGTTGCGTATTTGCCAATTTATTTTGCACGTTACAGACCGAGGGCTAATCACAAAGGTAAAATTATATTCATACCTAAATGCTATTTAACGGAACGATGTTCATTTTAGGACAAATTTATCCATAATATAACTGAAACTATATGTCGTTTATAAGATATTACAATCCTTTTGCTTTTAAATTAATAAATAAGAAACACCCTCGGTCTGTAGCCCTTGACTGAAAAGTGGTTTTGCGCAACTTATCAGATAGTGCGCTTTGAGTGGCTCCACCGTCGTTGTAATCAAACTGTCGTCGTTAGTTTTAAAACATTTTTTAATAGTATTTGTAATGATGATTGAACCATGAAACTTTTTATGTAGCGTAATTTTAGCCTAAATTAACTGAAAATAACCCTAGAAGCTAGAGAAACGATCCCTTTAACAGAATTCTATTAAAATCTGTCCACTTACCTTAATGAGTCCAAGATGAACTAACAAAGAATTTGAGAGCAATGACAGGTTCATGTCGCCTTGGCCAAAAGTGTTAATTAGCAGTGCATCTGTAATTATAATTAAGTATAATTGAAATTCTGATTTTCTGAGCCTGTATAAAATAAATTAAAATTGGCAAGTTGTGCACAAGGAATTCCTACAGTATATATAGTGAATTAAATCATAGAAACTAAATCTTCAAAGATTTTCTGTAGAAAATGTGAAAAAATTAAATCACTATTACCCCCCCCCCACACACACACACACACACACACACATACACTATAACCTCACTGATTCAGTCATTTCGATTAGGGGAACAGAAACCAGGGGGGGGGGAAATCCGAGGGTCATACTCGGCTACCTGTGCATTTCATCGCAGCTTCATTCACGCTGCTATCCTCCCGCCGCCCAGCTGCCAGCGCGACCTTCATAAAGGTCACCATAACTTTCTCCGAATCTGCTATGTCGGCCTGAAACAAATACGGGTGTGAAGAAGGACAAAGGGCGATGTTTATTTTTGTATTGGTATTACTTTAAGCTTAAAAGAAATCGTGTACCGAGAAGAGAGCACTAGGCGTAGCATTAGGTTAGCACTTAGCATATGTAAATAATTTGATACTTGTGATCAACATAATTGAGATTAACCTCTAAACTAAAACAAGAGCCGCAGAGCATCTGGGCTCATCTGGGGTCTGTTGCTACGGTTATAAACGTAAAATTTCGGTCGTGCGTAATGACACATTTGTTAGGCGCAGATATGCAGATACGCAGTTGCGTACACTGCATGTAGATTTCTCTTTTTCTCGAGGCTGTAGCGCTGCCGGACGAGGCTGTGCGACTGATTGTTTATACAGATGTCTGATTGTCTATCAGACTGATTGTCTGATGGTCTTCTAACCCTAGCAAGACCGTTTCGTTGAGCTAGCAAGGCGGTAACGTTTTTTTATAACTTCACATAAATATTTATACTATATGTTAATTCGGGTGGCACTACAGGCAGAAATAGAGAGCTGCCACCTGTAACTAATTAACGCAGGCAAAAACTACACAGTACTATCACCGGCACATGCACTGGCAGTGGCATATGTTACATGTAACACACTGACACTGACAGTACAGAATGCCATAGAAATTATACAATTTAAGGAGCATAAACCTTCTTCAACCAAATTTAGCTTTTGAAATTTCACTGTGACATTGTAGCCTCATACATCCAGGCATGTATAGATTCTACTAGCAAACCCAGCAGTCAAATTCTTTCTAACAGTAAACAAATCCATGTTTAACCCTCCTCTTGAGGGTCAAAAGGTTATCCGACACTTACTCTTCGCATGTCAGCAGAAAGTAGATTTCATGGTCCTTTCAATAAAGCCATAAAAATGGTAGGTCACCGCTGAAACAAAAAAGTTTTTCAATCGCTCCGTCAGACCATGTCCTCAGAAAATGTCTAAAATCTGCCCTGTGCCCCATTGACCTGTGACCTCTAATTTCGGCACAGTGATGGCTTTTCCTACCATGATGCTATACACCGACTATCACGAGCCTAGGTCAAGCCGTTTAGATTTGTGCTGCAATTCTGCATTTCCTCCCTATATCTTAAGTTAAGGAGGAAATGTTCCTCCTTCTTTTACACCTCTTGACCTTTAACCTTTGACCCCCAGCTTCGACATACCAACTCGTTTTCGGATTACCCCCCACGTCCCAACTTTCGAATCCGTACGTCGAGCCGTTTAGATTTGTGCCCAACTGTTGACGGACGCACGCAGGGACGGACGCACGGCCGGACGCACGCTCATGCGATTCAACAAGCTGCAACTGACTATGTCAGATGAGCTAAAAATGTGAAATTTACGGTATAAACGGCTTGCTATAACGCGCGTACATTTTTTGTTTTCCTGATTTACCCGCTCAAGTATGATTGAGGTAGAAAATGTCCCGAAAGCACACATTCTTTATTAAATACATAATACTATAAAATACAATAACATTAACTCGGTTGCAAGCGCCATGTAAGCCGGTTGTTATTAGCAACAAGAACGAAAACTTATGATTCCAAAATGTATCCACCAGGTCACGCCACATTAGCCCTTTGGCGACACACGTCGTCACGGGAACTCACAGCGAGATGTTGTATGATCTGCTCGGCTCTATTCTCGCCGAGACCTAGAAGCCTGGCTGCAGAGGGCGCCGCTAAGAAGCTGTCGACTGTACAAGCCTCAGGCAGCACCTGCGAACGGGAGGGGACGGCTAACAATCAGTCAGGCACACATATAGTAGCTTTAGTAATGAATCGAACTCTATGGTGTTAGTATTTGTTAATGAGAAAGTTAAGAAACTGAACTAAGATATCGCCTGATAATTTAACGTTTAATTCTACGAATATTGTGGAATCAGGCTTTGCTACTTGTTGCTATTGATTTACAGCACAATTTTGCCGATGGGGACAATTTATATATTTAATATCGATATTTATAACAGACATAGATAATTTCTTCTGGGACAATGTAATCTTTTACAAGTGGGCCCTCCATTATATTTGCAATAGCATTCACAATAACAGGTATGAGAATGACCCAAGAACTGACAATACTGACCACAAAATGCGAGTGCCAAAGTCAAGGTTATGGGGAGAGTACAGGAGAAAGTATCACCTTCCTCTTAGTGAAGGTTTGGGAGGTCACTCTTAAGAAAATCATGAAAACTGGTTACTCTGTGGTGCATTCGGGTGTCTGAGCATCAGTTTCAAACACAGAACCAAAGGCCGAAACATATTCTACCCCCCACCAAGATTTTCCCCTCGAATTTACACCATCTTAAAAATGGCTCTGGCCGTAACAAAAAACACTGAAAATCACAGATACGTGAAAAATTCTCATCCCTGTATGTGAATGTATTGCAACAGTGGTAGCACTTTGCCAAGAAGAGAAATGCAAAATAGTACAAGTGTGACGTTTACACAAGTTTTTATTGCAAAATAGTGCAGATTTAGTACATGGAACTCTGTGTTACACCACACAGTAACAGAATTAATGACATTTGAAAACCAAAGACAATGGGACGCTATTGCACTGATCACTAATTCAGTTTATACTGTTAGGGTTAAAACTAAATTTTGAAAACGTACATATAGCAATCATCCCATCTGCAATAAAAACATGATACATCTCTAAAAATGAGAATATAAAAACCAGGCAGGTGGAAATTTTACTACCATAATCTGGTCATGAAAACATAACCCGTTTAAAAATATAATTACAGGACAAAGGATAAAATACAATCTTATGTGTGCTAAAAACCACGAAATGCACGTGAAGGTTGGTAGCGGGGAGAATTTTTTTTGCTAGAGTTTCAACTGTTCCAAAGTTTCCGCGAGATCCTGTTCAGTCGTCTGAAAGAAATGAACAAAAACTAAAAAACCCAAAACCAGTGTGAAGCGATGGGACAGTTTGTGATGAGGGATTTTTTTGCTGTGTGAGTATATATAATGGGATGTGTGTGTGCTAGTGAAGGTAAAGGGTAACAGATGTGTGAACGGTAATACGTGCACAGTTAACACGTTCAACGCTGCCCTGGTTAACAATGCACCTACCGCCCTGTGCTGAGATTTTCGCGTTTTTATCGCTTAGTCACCTATTACACAAAATGTTTTTGGCAGGTTTAACTAGCTATAAAATTATTTATAATTAGTGGCTAGTATAATATAGATATAAACTTACTCTCAGACATCAAAACAACACCGGAATCTATCACCCGTGATCTATCAAATCAAACACAACTTTCAGACATAAAAACAACTT